AACTATATAACGAACCCACTTTATAACGAACAAAACCTTCCAGAATATGCAGTTCGGTATATCCAGAGTTGACTGTAGATGGTGATCATCTCTATAAAAAATTTTCGAAAAGTTATCCGGCTTTTCCAGACTATTGTTCCATTATCGATCCGAAAAATGCTTATTTTTCACATAAATTCTTGGTCATTTCAATAGAATCCTAATAAATCCCGGCTTCTAATTGTAATGAAGTACAAAAAAATTACCGGTAGAAGCCGAATCTTACCTCAGTAAATATACAAATCTGTTCGTATGTACATGATTATTAAAATTTCTTTAGAATATAAAATCGGTTTATCAGATATTCTGGCTAAATTACAATAAAATTTTTATTAGAAAAAAAAATTTTTTTTTTAAAAAAAGGGTTTAAATCTATCATCAGTCACTAAAGTTTAGTTGGTGTTATATATTGCTTTATTAAAAAAATTTTTATATATGAAATTTTTACTAAGTACCCGGTGTGAGACAATAAAATTTCATAAATAAATTTTTTTTATTATAAAAATTTCTTTAAAAAAAAAAAAATTTAAAATCCGGGTTGGCGGGTCATGAGAGGCCAGTTGGTGATATGAAAATCGAAAATATAAGTTTGTATGGCCTTATTATTATAATTTCTGGAACACCTGCTTATTACCCGAAATCCTTTTGATCATTCGGTAAATTACCTAACTCTCCAGAAATTACATCACTGCCTCCGGACTAAAGGTATTAAGACAGCGATGTAGTTTCCGGAGAGTTAGGTAATTTACCGAACGACCAAAAAGATTTCGGGTAATAAGCAGGTGTTCCAGAAATTATGATAATAGCTGTAATTCAAAAACTATAGTTAGATCTGGATCCGAATTTATTAGATCCGAATACTATCAAAAGAAAATACGTCGATCCTACTATTATAGATTTACTTTGCAAGCGGTTCTATGGGACCACGAAATCACGTGCGACCAATCATAACCCGACACTAACATTGAGAACAAAATACGTATTCTAACGGATCCAATTCGGATAACGAATCGGATCCCTATGTAGATCCGGATTCGTCAGATCTTATAAATTATAGACCCGGATTCGATCCGATAGGTCGGATTCAATTCGGATATCGGATATCAGATCGGATCTGCGGAACACTAGCCCAAAATTTCGTCATCCCGAAGTTCTCGAATTTTATGGACACAGCCAATCGGATTAATAGGAATTAACAGACAACGTGATCTGTAACCAATCAAAACACCAAAATCGTGGATAACACCCAAAATTATGGATTTCCCAAGATTATGGAAAAATTATGGATCCATAATTTTCGGCGTCGTACGACTGATATAATCGAATGTAATCATATAACGTTTACTATGTAGCCGATAAAATTTCAAGGATCGACAACCAATGAGGTGGATTTTAATATACGTAATTTAAAATTATCAAAGCAATTTTTCCTTTTAAATAAAATTATAGTGAGTTACTATTTTTATTTCTTTCAAGAAATAAAATTTGTTATATAACAATATATATATAATATACTACAAACTATAGTCGTTGAAAAATTAAAATATTGATATCATACATGAAATGATAACGAATAAATGGAAATGATAATACAATAATAAACACTCATTCACTCATTATTCCCGTACTCCCAATAACATTACTATCATCCTTATTAGGTTCATGAAGTGTCATTTCACCACCATTTCCCATCATAGCATCTTGTTGAGTTGTCAATTCATTAAGAAGCGAATCCATCTTAATTACATCATTTTCTAATCCTTCAAACTGCCCAAGAAAATTTTTTAATTTGTCTGTAGATATATCCTTCAAGCTGTCTAAATAAACTTGAGTAAGAGGATCATCTGTCGGAAGATCATTTTTCGATATTGTGATTACCAGAACTTGTAGAATCTTAATGAATAGATTACTGAAATTAGCGTTTGACCTAATTTATTAATATTCATTAAATGTTCAAATTCATCGGTATAATACCTGAATTAACTCTTGGATGATCATGCTGATTGAAGCCAAGTCGTTAAATTCAAGCTTCTCTTTGAGCGTTTTAACATTAGCGGCTAGTTGCTGAATATGTTTTGAAACAATTGGTTGCACAAACTCAGGCTTGTTTAATTTGACCTAAGGAACATATGAAAATTGAATAAGGCACCACATTGACCAAGTAAATGATTTAAGCAACTTACAATATTAATCAATGATCTGAGCACGTCCAATTTCTCTGAAATATGCTTAGTTAATATATGCGGATTCGAATTTAAAAGGCGTTCAATTAATGTTGTAAAGTAAACATGTCCATATATATTCGCAACTTGACCATTTGTAGATAATTTTTCATACAGCTCCAATATTATATTAAATATATTTTCGATGTCAATGTCCATCATTTCAAGGATTACTAATGAGCCTATACAAAAGTAGCGAACAAAAGTTAATAAGATGAAACAAGCCCGTTCTCGAAACGACCCAAGACTTACAAAGTTGAACCACTCTATCATATTGCTCGAATTCAATGCCAGTTACAATAACCTGTTCCACGAACTTTAAATATGGTTTATATAGAACTTCCTGCAGTTGTAATACCTGTTCTCTCTTCAATTTTTGCATAAAAGGTTTGAAAACGTGGATCGAAGGCCCTTGCAATAAATTCATAACACTATAATTATCGAATTCGTCATCGATTAACTTGTATTGATGGAAAATCGAGCGATTTCCGCCAAATTTCATGAGTAAATCTGGTGAATTCAGTAATTAATTTTTCGAAAAGTTAAAAAAAAAAAAAAATACACATATTTACTAAAACCTTTAGAAAATATTTTGGAATACCTTCATTAGTGACAGTCCCTCGTTGCCATTTC